CAAAGGAACTGAATAGACATTTTTCCAAAGAAGACACACAAATGGCCAACTGGTACATGAAAAGGTGCTCAATATCATTAATTATTAAAAAGATGCAAATCAAAAATCACAATGAGATATTACTTCTCCTTTCAGGATGGCTATTATTAAAAAGACAAGAGATAGCAAATGCTGGCAAGGATGCGGAGAAAAGTGAATTACTGTATACTGTTGGTGGGAATGCAAGTTGGTGCAGCCACTATGGAAAACAGTATGGAGTTTCCTCAAGAAATTAAAAATAGAACTACCATATGATCCAGCAATCCTACCTCTGGGTTCTACTCAAAGGAAATGAAAGCATCATCTCCAAGAGATATCTGTACTCCTATGTTCATTGAAGCATTATTCATAATAATCAAGGTATGGAAACAACCTAAATCTCTGTCAATGCATGAATTGATTAAGAAAATGTGATATACATATATAATATATATTATATACTATGTATATTATATATATATATATATATATATATATATTCCATTGCAGAATATTATTCAGCCTCAATATGCATGGACCTGCAGAGCATTATGCTAAGTGAAATAAGCCAGGCAGAGAAAGACAAATACTGCATGGTGTCACTTATATGTGAAATTCTTTTTAAAAAGTCACACTTACAGAAACAAAGAATAGAAAAGTGGTTGCCTGAGGTGGGGGTCAGGGAAGGGAGAAGTTGGTAAAAGGGTTCAAACTTTTAGGTGTAAGGTGAATAAGGTTTGAGGATCTAATGTATAACACGGTGACTATTGTTGATAACACAGTATTGTATAATTGAAATTTAGTAAGCGAATAGAACTGAAATGTTCCTACAAACAAACAAGGGTAAAACTGTGAGGCGATGAATGTGTTAATTAACTTGATGGGGATAATCCTTGCACAATGATGTATATGTGTATCTAATCACATTTTATACTTTAATTTCTATCTTATTTGTCAATTATACTTAAATAAAGCTAAAAAAAAAAAAAAAAAAAAAGAAGTGGAAAACAAAGATAAAAAAGAAAGGGTACATACATAACAATAACAATAAAAAAAAAAAAAAAAAAAAAGAAGTGTTCTGTTTACCTACATCTCAACTTTCATCTGGTTAACCTCTGCTTGACTCAATTTAGGTGTCAGCCTTTACTGATTTTCCTCTGCCCTGAGCTCCAAGATATAACGTGCACAATGAGTTTTGTTTTTGCCTTGTTATATTTCTTAATCATATGCCTATTTATTTCATTTCTGACTGCCCTTCTCACATGGTCCTAACCATTTGCTTACTTGAATGAAGTCTGGAAACTTCTTGAGGAAAGCTTCTGTTGTACCCATGGTTTATCCACTGTTACGTCAAGCTCATTATTTAGAATATCCTTGTCCCATTTAATTTGTTGAATTAATTAATGGATTGAAACACTTTCCCAATAAATATTTCTGCTATAGGATTGCTATTAATTGGGGTAAAATTAATTAAAATCCGTGTAATCAGAGCCCTTAAAGAAAACAAAATGAAAACTTCACTTATTCTTTTCATTTTTGGACTTCATTCTAAGTTCATTTAAAAAAAAATATACAAAAGCTTAACTTTGCATATATGTTTTGAGTCATATAAATTGATTTTATTCAGTCAATGATCAAGTGTGTCACAAAAGAAAAGAGTAATCAATATTGTCTCAATCTGAATAACTATTTATATTAATATTATTCTTTATCTTAATTAAAGAACTGAAACTCCCCGGAATGAATATCTTTTTCTAGTTACTGTCCTGAGTGATTAAAATCCTCATGTTTTTTCTTCTTTTTATTTTCTCTGTCTCAGCCAATAATGTCTCAAGTTTGGACCTGGATCCTTCTGCAGCATCTGCATCCAAGCCTTTCCGACAGCCTACATGTTCACGGTTGGTTCCAGGGGATCAATAGGAAGGCAGGTGATGATCTTCACCTTATCGAAGCTTCATCACGGGAAACTAGGGCACTGACATTTATAATCCAATTTTGGTAACGAATTCAGCTAAAATATGCTCTGCCAGTCATTTCAAAGCTGTCACCCCCCTGCCCCTGTCCCACCCCCTCACACATATAACGACTTTCCTTAATGCTTTTTCATTACGGAACACAAGTTGAAACTTCACAGACTATGTACGCATATATAAAATCTTAAGCATTGCAAACCAGATTTAAAAAGGAAATTATTATTTCCTATATTGAAACAAAGACTGAGGAAAACAGAAATGAAGATTTTATGTATAATATTTATTTCTAGCCTTAATGCTAAAATTATATTTAAACATACACACAAAGCAGCAGCAGTAAAAGCAGCCGAGCAAACGAACAAATGACAGAATGGATAATATTTTTATTTCTTCCGTTTATACTGTAATTTTATCCTTGCTTCAGAAACGCTTACATTTTAGATAATTACCAAAACTGAACAGCAGAGGGCAGAAAATAGCAAACTGTTTCTTTGAGCACGCTCTGCTATTCAATTGTAGCCCTGGTAGTTTTGAAATTTTCAATTTGATTTTATTACTGATCAGTTTGAGGTATTTTCTTGAAACAGAGTTTCTAAGTATTAAAAATAAATTGCAGTATTTTTCATTTATTTGCATAACCACTTCCTTCAGCCAATTTAAATTTATCACATTGATACTGACAGTATTCTATGCCTGAAAAATGTTATGTAATAAATGTTATAGTGAATTTGAAAAAGTTCCATGAATGATAATATAAGTACAGTGATGCTAATACTGCAGGAGATGTATCTATATATGACGCAAAAGGTACATGCCTTGTGAAAGACACATTAACAGAAAAACAGTTGAATTACAAGTCATGCCTACTAAAATTATTTCCATTTTATACATGAATTATAATTGGTCACTAAACAGTAACACTTGCCTTGAGTTATTACATATTATTTACTAGGAAAGGTGCTTCTATGATTCAGCAAATTCTTATTTTATATTGTTTGTTTTTATAGAATGTAATTCAGTCAACTTTTTCCCTGACTTTAAAATAAAGATGAAAATAGTTTTTAAAAAGTCCTCTTTAAAAAAAATTAATTTACATTGACCCATACTTCAACCATGACCAATTCTCCACATTTAATTTTCTCTCTCTCTCTCTCTTCTTTCATTCCTAGTTACTTGGCATAAAGTTGAAGTTTTTCTTGTGGAAAAAAATTGAATGAAGAAAAAATATGGCTGAAAAAAGTATTTTTTATTTTGCCCTGAGCTGTTATTCATTCTTTTACACATTAAAAATATTTTAGAGAATAATTCAAATCATTTTGGTGCCTTACATCACAGCTAGTGATTGAATAGATAAGATGTATAAGATTGAATTATTGTTTATACTGTAAACTTGGATATATATTTATTTATGTCTTCCTTACCATTTTATTCCTTTTTAATTTTTTTTAAAGGCTAAATGCATTTTGACTCACAACACCTGTTATATGCAGAGGAGTGTTCATTAATGGACTAAAATAAATTCTTGGTGATAAAACTGGGAGGTATTTTTACCTGTAGTATAAAAAACTTAATAATTGATTATGGATATTTTTACTTCCTGGCTTAGGAAAACATACCGAAAATCAAAAACAGGGAAAGACCATGATTTGAAATCAGGATTACAGGGTTAGAGAGCCATCGAGGCTGCTTTGCTCATCTTTCTCATTTTTTTAAAAAATCGAGGCCCAAAGTGATTAAGGGTCAAGTATGAGAACCTACAGTCAACAAGGAGGCTGTGCGAATGATACTCCTGGGACGAGTGCCCAGGAAAGCAGCACGGTAGACTAACTCTTGGCGTTCTGACATATTACCAGGCTACGCCTTCCGTATCGTGGGCTCCGATCTCCTGCTTCTGGAAACAGTCACTTGTATTCAGTCGTCCTTGATTTCTTCGTTTAAACCGCAAAAGCCATAGACGGAGTGAGGAATTTCTGCCACAGCAGGTCCCAGGCATCATTTTGTCAGGCAGTGTGAGGCCCGTAAGTTCCCACGGGGAAGTCCAGGCTTCCTACGAAGATTTCCTTGAAACGGAGTCTTCTGCTTTCAAGCTGTGTAAAGATAGACTTCTACGGAGCCAAGACTACACATGTCTCTACGACGGGGTTGGGGGGAAGGGGGGGAAGTCTGCAGTGAAAGCTGCGAGAGGGACCCGCACGCAGCAGGCTGGGCACAGTGTAAAGATGGGATTTCCATGCAAAGTATTTCAAAGGTTCAGTCTTGATCTTCTGTGCGGCTTTGGCCTTTAAAGACAGACCTCGGGGTTTTCCCTGGATCCTGGCTCCCTCCCATTTAGCTAAAGTTGACAGTTTTGGAACCCCTCCTCATGGGTGTTTTGTTTGCTCGCTTGCTTTCCTGGTGGATCAGGTGCGGTGGGAGGCAGCGTTTCTCTATTGCTAGGTGGGTTTTACAGGCTCTGGAAGATAAAAATCATAATTACTTGTATCGTAGGCAGCAGGGCCTGGTGAGAGAACGCTTCACCGCCAGCAGCACGGAGCCACTCGGCTTCGCACGGCAGCCGGAAACGGGCTTTGCTGCGTCCGGTCCGGGCTGGAGCAGCTCCCGGCGCCGCAGCTGCCGCGGCGGCACAAAGGTAGAGCCACGCCGCGCAGGCGGGAGCGGGGGCGCTGTCCGCGGTGCTGAAAGGCGAGCGCCGGTGGGCGCGACAGCTCGCGAGACCCGAGGTCTCGCCCGGGGGCCACGGCGCCCCGGCTCCGAGCCGCGCTCCCAGCTCCGCGCGCGCGACGCCTGGGCGCGCGGGGGGCGGGGCGCCCCGGCAGCCCGCCCGCCGCGACTCGCGCACGCGCGCCGGACCCGACTCTGAGACTCGCGTGCGTGCGTTTGTGTGTGTGTGTGTGTGTGTGTGTGCGCGCGTGTGCGCGTGTGTGCGTGTATGTGTGTGCGCGCGCGCGCGTGTGAGAGCGGGGAGAGGGAGAAGCGCGCGAGGGTGAGTGTGTGAGTGCATGGGAGGGTGCTGAGTGTGCCGAGGCGCTGGGACCACAGCGGCAGCCTGCTGGAAGCTGCATCCAGCCAGTCTCCGGACTTCGCGAGCGGGGACCGGGCGCAGGGAGGCAGCCACCCGCAGGACCTGGGAAATAGGGATTCCTCTGCCACCACGTCGGGTTTCTAGCAGCTCGGTGCTACATTGCTGTCTCAAAATGCAGAGGATCTAATTTGCCGAGGAGAACGGCCAAAGAAGGAAGAGGAGGAAAAGGGGGGAAAAAAAAGGGTATTTTGTGGATGCTCTACTTTTCTTGGAAATGCAAAAGATTATGCATATATCTGTCCTCCTTTCTCCTGTTTTGTGGGGACTGATTTTTGGTGTCTCTTCTAACAGCATACAGATAGGTAGGTACCCTTTGTGCTCTGCTTTTGAATTGTGCATAATTTGGTGGTATCTTTGTTCACGGTGGACAAATTAATTCATGTCATGTAGACTTATGTCATACCTTGACTGCATTCCAGATTTAAACTGCCTGGAATATATATGTTTTTCTTAAAATGAGGCAAGGGCAGAAGACTATGCCTCTGAAACAAGAGAGGGAAAGGACTTCTCATTAATGACCCCCAGATTTTTATTCCTTCTGCCGTCACAGCATCTTCCGGTTTGTTCAGGTTCTCTAGGGGTTCTGAATGCACAGCTTGTGATCACTAGGGAGGGAGGACGTTTCTGGCCACCCACCTTGCCCTCGGGCCCCCCTGTGCCTTGACCCTCGGCCTAGGATGCTGCTGCCCCCCGCCCCCGCACACGCACACACACACCGGCTCCCGGGTCCGTGGATGTTTATTCGGCCTGCTAGTGTGAACGAGGGGCTCCGGGGCAGTCGGGCGCTAGCGGGCTCCCCTGCTTTCCGCCGGGCGCTGACACTGTCCTCCCGCTTGGTGTTTGTTCTTTGCAGGGGGGCTGTTTCCCAGGGGCGCCGATCAGGAATACAGTGCATTTCGGGTAGGGATGGTTCAGTTCTCCACTTCGGAGTTCAGACTGACACCCCACATCGACAATTTGGAGGTAGCCAACAGCTTCGCAGTCACCAATGCTTGTGAGTAAGGAATATTTATGCCCTTTCGGGGGGCCGCACGCGGAAAGCGGGCTGGCGTGTGTGTGTGTGTTTGTGTGTGTGTGTTCCTGCGTGTCGGTGTCGGGGCGCAGTGACTGCACGCGCGCGTGCGTGTGGCAGCGTCGGGGGAAGGTGTCGGCGATCGTGGGGATGCCCGCTGGCTGGGGCCTGGGGGGCGGTGAAGAGCCAGCGAAAGGCGGCGGGGAGTGTGCGCTCTGGGGCTCGGGTGGGGTGGGTGTTGGAGGTGAGGGGGCGCCCTTGGGTGCGGGGCTCCCGGCGTAGCTGGAGTCTTCAAGGCGAGCCCTTCACCCCTGTGCCCCGCGAGCACGCGGTGCCCCGGGGCGCGCCGTCGGGCTGCTTGGTAGACGCCACGGCCCCGGGTTGAAATCCGCAGGCCCCGCTCGGGGTCCCCGTGCGGACCCCGTGAGCCTGTATGCTCCCCCGAGACGGGACACGTTGTCACAGCGGTCCCGCAGTGCGCTCGGCACCCGAGGCCCCTCGAGGGGCGCGGCGCGGCTGACGCAGGCCGGGGATCGCGGCCCCGGGAGCTGCGGCCCAAGCGCAGCGGCGAGCGTGCCCTGGGCGCCGCGGGCCCTTGCCGGCCGGGGCGCTGGTTCGCAGGTCGCGGGGCTCCCGCCGAGGCAGCGGGAGGAAAAGGACCCGAAAGCGGCGGGATGCGCCGAGTTCGGAAGCTGGAGAAGCCGCCGACCAGCCATTTTAGTCTTCGCAGCCGTCCTGCTAGTCCCGGCGCGGCGCGCGGTGTCCGGGGACCGGCCGCGGAGCTCCATCCAGGCCTCAGAGTGCTGGGACCCAAGCAATTAAGTCCCCGCGCGGTTCCGTGGGAAGGCCGGCGGGCCCGGGTCCAGGCGCGGCCGTCCCCGGACCCCCTGCCCTCTGCCAGCGGCTGGCATCCTTTCCTGCCGGCTGGGTTGCGGGGACTCTTTTCGGACTTGACATTCTCAGTGTTTATTGCACAGTTGACAGTCTCGCGGGGGGACTTGCAGATGGCTCCCCTCCCACTCTGGCTACTTGCAAAGGAGCCAGCGGAACATGACCGCAGAGAAAGGCTGACCGCGGAGTCCCCACGGTAGACAGGCAGCTGGTGGCCGTCCCGCTGCTCCGTGATAAGCCTTAATCGTAGAGCCCATGGGTTAGCTTGACTGTAGTGTCAGAAACAGCATCCGCTCGGTTTGAAGCTCCCGTCCACCGAATGAATGAAGGAACGAAACCGCTGGCTTTGACCGATAGAGCAGGGGTCATCATCATGGTCCTGTTAGATGCTTAGAAGTCAACTGTTCATGAAAACCTGTTTAAGAAGATTTCAGTGTTGTGTGTTTTCTTCACATGTTGGTTCTAAGTGAGAAAAGCAGCTGGGCATGGTGGGGAGGAGAGAGAGAGAGAGAGGCTTAAGTGGATTTGCAGTTTAAAAAATATACTCCATAGAAGAATATAATAATATATATCTTGGAAAATTTATATATATATATATATATATGTATGTATACAAAGAAACCAGCTGTAGTTTAAGTTTTGAAGGCTTTTATGCTTGACCTGTTTACCTATTAGAGTTTGATTATTCATTTTATTTGATATCAGGTTTCTGTTTTTTTTTTCCTGAATTGTGAGTTTGACACACAGTTGTGCTAAGTATCTGACCGTATGTAATTGTATACTAGTGTGAAAATGCTGTGGAAAGGAATGAACCTAAGGCAAGACTATGATTATTGGAAGGATCTAGATTTTTAAAAGGTGAAAAGAATTTGAATATATGGTCAATGACAGAGAAGTTCACTCATTGGTGAAAATCATGCCAGGGCCTGGCTGAGAGCACAGGAGATAGGTCCCCTGAAAGCAATGAATATGTCTTCATTCCAAATGCTGAATGACAGTGCTGGGCCTTTATAAAGACTAAAAAGTAATGGTTAGGTAAGGTTAGGTGACTAGTTTAGGTCCTCAGTCTCAATATTTTTGGATAGATTTATTTAATATAAATTTTATTGAAATAGGATATGAAGGCAGAAACTGTACATATATTAAACACATATATAAATCCATACATTTCCACAGAATGAGTATATCCATGTAATAAGAGAGAGATTTCATTTTAAAAAAACACAATTTAATTTGCTTGACCATAATTCTGAGAAAATGGGAAAATCATATCTTCATTTTGCACAGATTTTTTTTTTTCCTTAGAGAATGGAGCTGAAATAAAAAGTTACATGTCTCCACGTCCCAAATTTTCTCCTCCATGGATTATTCTAGGACACTAAGACAAATGATGGTGAGGAACTGAATGCATTTTCAAGTTTCCGACACGGGAATTCAGAGCCATGGTCTCTGCAACTCCCGTGTTATAAGTAGTCTTACTGATTGCTGAGCAGGGCTAGTTGAGGCCCTGGTACGGAAGAGAGACTCATTGAATAGAATTTTCTGGAGTTGACATTAACTCATCGACCAGGCACTCAATTTCTTCATTCCTTTGGGAATTTTACAATCTAGAGTTTGCAAAAGGAAATGGAGTGTTTGTATCCTTTTTTTTTTTTTCCAAGAGCAATAGAAAATGTAAAATTAGTTTACCTCTTTTCAGAGAGAGAGAGAGAGAGAGAGAGATGCTTGTATAAACTACACTCACAAAGTCAGCAGTCGAGAAATGAATGGAGATCTCTCATATCAAATTTATTAAGTTGAGTCTTGATCACTTAAATCGTGCTCAAGGCTTTTCCTCCTTAGCCTTTGTTTCCTTGTCTTCTCAGTCAGGGGAGTCCATGATTCTTTCCTATATGAAGTGGAAGCAGCAGAGTGTCAAATATGTTGATAGAAACCCAACCGACTTTCTTCCATTTCCTCCAGAAATCTAAGGAATTCTGCTTCTTAACTCCAGTATTAAAATGTGTATCATCAATCAGTGTTCATAAAGTAGCTTGTCCTTTCTCCGAGTTAAACCATAAAAATCCCATAGGGTAAATTTAACCCTAAATGTAATGTATAAATTTAATATATTAAGAAAGCAGAGTTGTAAACCTTAATAATATAATTTCAAAATAGAAGATATTAGTCTGCTAATTTAGTTGTATTCCTGAGATGGAGGGACTTCTTTGGAACTGCTGAGGCCGATGGGGCTTTCAGGGTCCAGCAGGACCCATGGAATGGGTTAAAATTATGCAAACGAAATGAAGTCATTATATTCTGAACTGGGTAAGTGACTGTGCAGGCTCTGAACTCCCTCCCACTCCCTCTTTCACAGTCACAGTGGGAATAATGGAAGGACCTACTTGTTCCCATTTGTTTCCATGGGTACCTGAGGAAATAAAGACAGATTTCCAATTTCTTACTTTCTCCTTTTATTTTCCCCTCCCTCCCCACTTCCTTTCCTCCTTCTTTCTGATTAGCTAGAGAGCCTACTAAGGTGAGGTTTTTTTTTTTTTTTTCCCTGAAGGTTGCTCAAACATAAGACTTCAATATGAGAAAATCCATGAAATCAGAAAAATAAATAAATTAGTATCTGATATTCAACAGTTGAATCAGTAATGGGCCTCAAGAATTCTTTCCTTCCTTCCTTCCCCCCTGCCCCCTTCAGTATTTGCTGAGTGTCTTCTAGATGTCAGAGAATAAACGAATGCTGTTCCTATAGTAATTAATTTTTTCCTAACCTTTCCCCTCAATGCTCTTTCAAATAGTTTTCAAATCCTATTGGCCTGGACGCCTTTCCTGTGCACTGTCTGCTGGGTTTTGTCTAAGAAGTTTAGTCTGAGGATGTGGAGATATTCTAGTAGTTTTTCTACAAAAGCAATTTATTACAGTAACTCAACATTTTTGTGAAAATAATAAATGTGATATTGGCATATGTGTATACACCACATATTGTGTATAGGTTAACAAAATCAACAGCAGGTTTTAGGCGAATACTACATATGTTTACATTCTAAAAAGTTTTAATAAAGTTTAATGTACTATTTACTAAAACTTTGTTTTTTAGTAAGTTTGTTTTATTTTAAACAAAATAAAACTTGTCTAAAAGGGCTATGAACATGAGTATTTGATCACAGAGGGCTTTGGAATTAAAAATATCAGATAGTAAATGTCCTCTTCAAAATCTTTCCTATTTTTAACAGAAAGACTTTGACAAATAGCTATTAAGCTATTTAAAAATAATTTAATAGTTTCATATTTCAATTTCATAACAATAAGTTATAAAAATATTAAATTTCAAGAAACCGCAGATAAAATCTACTTTTCCTCTAAGCCAGCAGATGGAGATGTTGGAGAAATACTGTTCTTTTGTAAAACTGCTGCGCACACTGCCTTTTGAAGCAACGTAAACCCATTCATTTAGAGAGATGGAAGAAATATGTGTAAATGGCATCTATTTTGGAAAAACTCACTTTTTGTTTGGAAAATAACTCCGAATTCCTTTTAAAAAGAGTGCCTTCGATTTTATTTTTAAAATAGATTGTCTTCAGTCTTCTTGTGAATTTGATTTGGAAAGAAATTCAGGAACATCATTGATTATAAATGCTCTTGGGCGAGAGAGAATTCTAAAAGTATACTTTTTCCTTGGAGAAAGAATCAAGGCTTTTTAACCTTGACTCTTCACGTCTTATTTATTTACTTATTTTATGGGAGTAGAGTTGATTTACAATGTGGTGTTAGTTTCAGGTGTACAGCAAAGCGATTCATATATATATATATATATAATTTTCCTTTATTGATTACTGCAAAATATTGAGTAGAGTTCCCTGTGCTATCCAGTAGGTCCTTCAGATATTAAGGTATATTTCTTATCATTGAATTTTAGTCATGAATTATTGAGATTGTGTATCTGTGTTCATCACATTAATTGGTGCTTGGTAAACCTTTATTACACTTTGCATGAATTTGTGTGTGTGTGTTTGTATAGTTATATTATAATTATAGATTTTGAGTAATTATAGATTGGCTGGGCTATCATGTTTTGTCATTTTGTCGAGGTAATTACGAGA